CAGCCAGGCTGACACCAACAACCTTACACCCAAACAAAGCTACTCGAGACGGCGGAACTGCGAAAAATGTCGCTTGAGAGCTGGTCCCTCAAGTGAACGTTGTATCAGATAGACGTTTTTTCCATTCAACACAGCGAAGATCAAGACAGATCTACGATTGCGTAGTAAACTCGCCCATCCGTCATCACAGTTCTAGTCGTATGCAGAGCATCCAATTGCTAATCGAACTAAGCTCATATTGTGTAGACACTTGTCATTGATAAGTACTACTACTAATACTCTGTAAATATATACATATATATCAACCAAAATATGTCGTTAAAAAAAGCTATAAACTACGTTGAAAAAAATCAAAACGAAAAGGGGGTATCAAAATGGCGAAATCATCCACAACTATGGAGAATAAAGACCCAGATGTGAAAAAAGCGACCCTTGTGTGACCGCCCAATCCAAACTCCTTTTCATCTCATATGTGGGATTTTGTTTTCTCCCAAACGTGAACGCTCAAAATCTTTCTTCTCTTTCTGTTTCTTTCCTTCTCTTCTTCACTCCCCCATCCTCCTCGTCTTGGGACTCTTCTTGGGCGGCTGCTGATTATTAAATCCATCGCTCGTCCTCGCCCTCTTCAAATTGCCCTGGGGATTATTGTGATGTTGTCCTTGTCCTCCCGTTCCAGCACCCCCCATGCTGCTTTGGCTCGCCGCACTACTACCCGCCATACTCGCCTTCTTTGCAAGTCTAGCCGCCTCGCGGACGTCCGTCACAGGAGAGTTGAAACCACTTCCACCACCCGCCGTCGCCGCGCTACTGCCCGCCTGAATCTCCTCAGCAAGGCGATCCGCAAGTGCAGCGTCGTACTCTCTCTCGCTCGCCCTGACAGCAGTAGGATCCTGCTTTCTCGCCGTCGCCAACAAGTCAACGGACCCGTCATCACTGTCTTCGTAGTCTGATTCGCTGCCCTCTGATACATCAGAAGCAATGGGCGCAATGTTCAAAATCTGCATAGCCGTCGCGGGCCCCCCAGAATCGCTGTCGCTGTCGGGCTCCGAAGACGCATCGGATGCAAAATCGCTGTCTACGTCGCCGGAGGAGCAGGAATCGAGGGGCAGGAACGATGCAGGTGGGAGTGTGGACGAAGGCAGGTTTTTGCGAGATGCCGAAAGAATCTTTTCTTCAATTACCCTGTGCGGGCTCGATCGCGGGGATTCGACTTCGGGGGATTCAGATTGTAGGCGGGAGTTGAGTGCATCTTGGATGGCCTTGGGGTACAAGTGTGACATCCTCCTTGCAGCGCCATGCGATGGCGCGGTAGGAACTTGTGATCTTCTCACATGGATAGAAAAATTATCTTCTGGTTGTACGCCGCCCAGACCAGAGGCTTCGAAATCCATGAGTTCAGGGGAAGTGTTCCCGCTGTCGTCCCTCAAAGCCTCAGGCGAAAAGCCTAGGTCGTCGCCACTTGAAACGGTGCGTGAACCAGCCACAGAATCAACGTCCATGGGCGTAGCGTCCAGAGGGCCTCGGGGCTCAGATAGATCCATGGATGTCTTGGTCTGTGGGGACGTGGTCTGTTTGGCGCCAAGAGGCTGGGTTGTGATGGGTTGGTAATTACCAGGCATAGTGAGGAAAGCACCGTTACGGTCTCCACTCAGATCCGTGCAAAACTTGGCCTTGGTGTAAAAGATCATAGGTCCGTCGTCGCGTCTCCTCGGCTTTGAACTCGAGCTCTGCATAATCGAACTACTAAAGCCAGAAGAGTTTCCAGCAGGATGTGGCTGATAAGAATAATTGGCTGAAGATTCCGCATCGAAAGCGTAATAGTCGTCCTCGTTCTCCGATTCGTCCTTGTGGAAGAAGAGAGGCTTGTAGGCGAACTTGTTCTGCTCCTTCTCGCGCTGCACCCGAGCCTGTCTTTTTGCTTTTTCGGATTCGTCGAGCATGTCGCTGCTGGTGCCGCTGGTGCCCGTCTTCATTCGCTTGAACGGCGAAAGGGAGCCTGTGTCGTTTGGTGAGGCACCGCTCCAATGCTCGGACGAGCTGCCACTGCTGTGCTTGGTGACGTCGAGACCGCCCTTCCATCGAATCTTGCGTCCATCGCGAGACATTTCGAGATGGCTGCTGTACTCGTGCAAGGCATCCTTGACAAACTCGGGGGTGACGTTGAGCGTGTGCAGTTGCGCCATGTTGATAAGCAGGTTGAGGTATATCCACCCGTGGCCGAGAGGTGCATCTCCGGAATTCATGTCTGGTGGGGAGAATCCAAGATGGCGGATGTAGTTCATGTTCTCGGCAGGCACCTGAGCACGGTAAGGATCCAAGTCGAGTGGTCGCGTGGGTCGTTGATCGGGAGACGAACCGGAGCCGGCAAAGTCGTGTTCCTCGATATGTAGACTGGGGCGGAATCCGTGGATAACCTCGTCCTGGGGCGTATCGTTGTCCTCGGCAGCAGCATCGGCACTTTTGTCGTTCCTGATACGTGCTTCGCGCTGGCCCTCGGGCTTGAAGTTTTGTCCAGTTGCTTCGCGCTGCTCACGGTCCGCGGTAGCTGCCGACTGAGCTACCTCCTGCTGCTGCATCTGCTGGGGGTGAGAGCCGGCTGCGGATCGCTTGCCAGCGAAGATTTGCTCCAAACGACGTACGACCATCTTCTTCTTGGACTTGTCTGTCATTGGAACGCTCTTGGTGTTTGGTAGCAAGCCCATGGGGATGTCGTGAAGGTACGACTGGATGGTTTGCTGTTGGCGGCTGTATGCGGACTTGGTCATCTTGCGGCGGTCGGAGTCTTGGTTGGTTGCGGACGAGTTGTGGCCAGAGGCGGAGAGGGAGGCATAGCCCGACTCGGCGAAGCGGGAAGTCGAAGAAGCCGTGTTGTGTGTTTGGAGGGCCGGGGTGTAGGCAGAGATGTCGGCGTACTCGTTGGCGGTGCCTTCGTCGAGCTCGGAAGCGAACTTGCGTAGAGTCTCCTCGAGTTCCTTCTTCTTGTGGTCTGGCAGACCGTGGAACCTCACCTCGAACAGCTTCTCTTCTTGCAGGTGGGCATCGTAGAGCTTCTCGTACTTGCGCAGTTTCTGCTTGAGCTTCTTGTTGGCAACGGTCAGGTCGTCGATAACGCTTCGGAAGTCCTCGGTGCTGCTGCCGTCGGTGCCCATCTGGCCAAGGCCGGGGCGGTATGGGATGGCGGGGTGTGCGTGGGCATACTGCGAGTTTTCGGGCGGTGTCTCTGACGAGGACGAGTTCTGGAGGAAGAAAGGCGGTTCATCTAGACCTCACAGTTAGGCATCGCTCGGCAGCGATGTGGGTGGCTCAAGACTCACTGTCGACAAACGACGACTTGCCGTGGCTGGCCGTGTTGTTGGTCTTCTCGAACCACTGGCCGGCATCGCTGCTCTCGCCGGAACTGGTCTTGTTGGAGAGCAGCTGTGGCGAGACGCTCGACGGCGGATTGGCCTTGTCGCTGGCGAGGTTTGGTGAGCTCTGTGTTGTGGTCGAGGCTTTGACTTTCCGCTTGGACGAGGCGGGCGGGCTGTGGCGGAGGGAGACGGACTGGTGGGCTGGTGGGCGGCGTGGATGGGATCGCGCAGCGGCAGGAATGGTTCCTGGACGCTCGTTCATCATGGCTGCGGTGCAAAGGGTTGGCGGGTCTACTCGGGGAGGATGTTCTCCATGTGCGCTAGGTGGTGAGTGTGAATGCTGCTCGAGTGCTGGGCGGGGCTGTCGAATAGCAAAGTTGGCTGAGGAGATTGTAGGTTAGTGAGTTCGAGGCCATGATGGGCATACATCTTCATGTGGACGCCCGTTTCGATGCTCTCGATTTCCACGATGCCAAGAAACTGCATGGGGATCGAGTGTACCTGGGAGAGAGGCAGCATGTGGCGCTCCCGGGGCTAGAAGCAAGCGACTACCGCCCGCGCAATCGCCGATTGCATCGACTCTCCTAACCCAGAAACTGCCAACCTGAGACCCTTTGCCAGCTCTCGATGCCTCGATGCCCCTCGACATCGCTGATTCATCTCCCAATCGCTGATGGCCGTGGCTTGATGCTGACACCTGTATACATTGCCCCGTCAAGCAACTGCACTGCGCGTCCATGCGACGGGTACTAGACCCGCATCTGGCACTCTGAACACAACAGCACAAGATGCCCTGCCTCCATCGAGATTGCACACAACTAGCTCCGCCTATCCCCTCTAAAAATGAGGTCACTTTTGCAACGGCTGGGACGCGCACATCGATTCCCTGGACCCTGATCTGACCTTGGTTGTTCGGCTTCCTGAGCCTCGCGTGTTTGATTGGCGTCTCTGCTACTGCACTGGAATCGAATGCGCCCTGCTCAATCGCTGTCGGCATCGCCCATCGAGCGGCTGGTCACAAATCAAGGGTCCAGCTGCAACCGCTACGCCAATCCTTCCCTCTCACGCATACGTTGCAAACAGGTCTCGTCAGGCCTGGATACGTCTGGATCCCCAGACGTTTGCCGTCTTGACCGAGCTACTGATCATGACTGCTGCTCGTATCCCAGAGTGCGCTGTGAATATTTTTTGCTCTCACGGGTGGGGTGATGCCACTTTCTATCTAAGATCACCGATTGAGCTCGGATCGCAGATTACTTGTTACAGTAACTCCAAGGCAGGGCCGCTCCGGAAACACCTTCCGGTCAAATCATCGAACTGAAACCCAAATATCGTTTCGTAAGTCTATCAGGTGCACCACAGCATCACCGACACTAGTTACAGACTTAGTGTCCCCATAGTTCGACGGTTTTCGAAGATATGGGAAAGTTGGAGGACATGTTTGTACAGTAAATGCAACATCTGACATCTCATCGAGATCGATTGTGCAATGACGTCGTCGCTAGTGTAGCGAGGGGGAAAAAAAAAGTAGAAACATATAACATAGAAAGGAGGCTCGGTGAAGCGCACCGAAATATATGATATAAAAAGTAGGCTCGGTCAAGCGCGCCGAGCACACGGGTCAAACACCCGTCGATTGCATTTACAAAATCAGATGCGCGCACCCTTACTCCTCAGTACGTTGACGGCAGAGTGACCCGTGTAATTGAGCCATTCGCCCAGTCCACCCATGAACCCACCAACCTTGGTGAGATCTTGTAGTCTATTGTCTAGAAACTGTTCCGTCTCGACAAAGTTGGCCGACTTGTCCTGCGTCATGTACATCTCAGTCGAAGAGTAGATGGCAGAGAGGGTCGCGCGCTTGGTGTACCAGCTGCTATCCACGCTCTGGTCGCCAGACAGGAACCAGACCTCGTCCGCGAGTCTTGCAAGTTCGGCCAAGGATGCCGGGACGTATGTAGGTTGGGCCATAATTGCAAGTGCCTATCAAGTATCAGCTGGCTGACCTTGATTCTCTTCTACTCATCCTCCTACCTCCTGCCATCGATGTATGACGGGTTCATTTGCTCGCAGTCGCGCCAACGTCAAGGTCCTGACTTTGGCGCCGACGCCCATTTTCTTTCCTTGCTCTCCTTGTTCTGGGAACTGAACATTGTTTTGTAGAGCCAGCCGCTGAGTGACGAGATGGTAATTGATCAAATCAAAAACACCTCTGGGAAGCAAATTGGTAGAAACATCGAGATATCCCGCATCTCTTGCACCGAGCTTGAGCGCATCTATAGTAAACCCATGATTTGGTACGTGCGCGTATGCGGAAGAAAGTATCGCAGATTCGGCGGGAGGAAACGGCGGCGGTTGAGCATAGTCATACGAATGGTATGAGCACCGCTGTGTTGAGGCGGCTGCTGGACGAACACATGTTGTTCGAAGTGAGGCTGCTCGGAAAGTCCCGAGCAGCCCGTTGGCTAGTCGTGCGGGTGGCATGTTTGAGGTGCAATTGAAGTTGTTCGGATCATCCGATGCGAACGAGTGCTCTCTTCTCCGGAAATCTGCCAAGACTGAAATCGATCAGATCTCCACGCTAACCTCTCTGACGTCGGTAGTCGATCAATTACAACGTCGAGTTTCAACATCGATCTGCATCGGGACGTGTGTAGGGATAGACCTCGACGGCAAAGATATTGCTCCACGTGGAAATTAGTTACTGTTCCTGGACCCAGGAGATTAGCGAGCTGTGTGGCTTCTTACAGGGCAAGTTCTCGATTTACACGTCAGCACGTGACACACGCGTCGAGCGCGTCTGCCCGCGTACGCTAGTGGCAACACCTAGAAATCCCATCTAGCATCTGCCTGACAGTCCACAAATCCCCTGACATTGCGTACAGACTTCGCCATCCGATCTTCAGGAACCCATCGGTTACCCCGCAAATCTTGGAGGCGACATCCAACGACCGAAAACGCGATTCTCGCAACCCCACGAATCGCACGCGCATCGCGCCTCACGCGTTGCACCGCACCTCTCGGTCGATCGTTTCGCCACAGGTTGGAAAGCAACCCCTTGCTTTTGTCCATACAAGAATTATATACGATTTACAATGGCGCGTGGAAAGAATGTCGAGATCAGCGAGTATGAGCGGAAACGGCAGGAGAATATCGCAAAGACGCAGGCGCTGCTGCGCAACCTGGAGATGGAGGCAGCAGAAGCCGGCCTAGGTCCTACCAGCAAAGCCAAAACCTCTGTACCTTCAAGACCAAAAGTGAAGAAACCCGTGCCGAAGAAGATCAAGCAAGAAGAAGTTGCGCCGCGTAGAACATCTTCCCGATTAAAAGGCATAGTGGCAGACAGTGAGGTCGCAAAGCGGAAAGCAGAGGATGAATACGTCGCATTGCAAGCTGCAGATCGTGCAAAGCGACAGCGCGTTAGTGATGCGTTTAATTTCAGCGACATAGTCGTCGCAGGCAAGGACTGGGATAAGAGTGGAAACTTCCTTTCAGTCGGCCCTGCGGATCCATATGCGCGGACATTCGACTACAATGACGTGAAGGAGACTACAGACAAGGAACTGCGTGCCCTCAGAGAACGCATGAGTGGTCTGACACTATGGGAAGACTTTGAGCCGAATGAGATAAAGATTACACCGGAGCGTATATACTCCATGGGTCTTCATCCTACGACAGACAAGCCCCTAGTCTTTGCTGGCGACAAGCTAGGCAACCTAGGTATCTGTGATGCGAGCCAGAAGGTGGCAGAAGTCAAAGTGGAAGATGACGAAGATGCGGAGAGGGAGGGACCCACCATCACCACATTGAAACCACACACAAGAACCATTCACACCTTCCAATTCAGTCCCCACGATGCGAATGTGCTTTACACGGCCTCGTATGATTCCAGTGTGCGGAAACTAGACCTCGCTAAGGGTGTGGCGGTGGAAGTATACGCGCCGTCTGACAAGGACGAAGAGGCGCCCTTGTCTGGACTCGAAATATCAAAAGACGATGCAAACACACTCTACTTTTCCACACTAGACGGCCAATTTGGCATATACGATATGCGCACGCCCAAGGAAAAGGCAGCGGGCTTGCAAATCTTCCAGTTGAGCGACAAGAAGATTGGAGGTTTCACGCTGCATCCCCTGTACCCTCACCTCGTTGCCACAGCGTCTCTAGACCGCACGCTCAAGATCTGGGACCTGAGGAGGATTAGTGGTAAAGGGGAGAATCGGTCGCCGGCGCTTGTCGGAGAGCATACGAGCAAGTTGTCCGTGTCGCATGCTGCGTGGAATTCTGCGGGGCAGGTAGCTACCGCTTCTTATGACGATACGATTAAGATCCATGACTTTGGTAACTGTGCAGACTGGAAGGTCGGGGTGGAGATGGGGGAGGAGGAGATGGAACCGAGTGTTGTTGTACCGCATAATAACCAGACTGGACGATGGGTTACCATGTAAGTTGCCCGGCTACCCTTTGAAAAGTACTTTTTTTTGCTTACAAGAACTGTTAGATTACGAGCCCAGTGGCAGCAGTCGCCTCAAGACAACGTCCAGCGCTTCTGCATTGGCAATATGAACCGTTTCGTTGATATTTACACGGCGAAAGGACAGCAGTTGGCTCAGCTGGGGGGCGAGGGTATCACGGCGGTGCCGGCTGTTGCAAAGTTTCACCCTACTATTGATTGGGTGGCTGCTGGTACTGCGAGCGGAAAGCTGTGTCTGTGGATGTGAAAGAAGACGGAGAGGAGTTAGAAATGCGAAAAAGGGAACAGAAGGGAAGACGAGACTTGCATTTTGATTTACAAGAGTGAATGCTGGTTATTTTTGGGTTCATGTTTCGTCGTTTTTGATACCCTAGAGGTCTTTGTAGTTGCACTTGCTAGTCTCGTTGCATCTCCTTTTGTTCTTTACGCTTGAGCCATGATAGTTCTATCACGGTAGTTTCGGCTGGGGTACTTGGCCTGCTCTTCTGAATGTTGGGTTAAAGGTAACTTGCCAGGCCGCGCGTCTAGGATCGTTGTCTCAAGTAGTCATCTTCATACTTGATTGCCTTAGGAATGGTGAATGCAAATAATGCACCTGCAGCTCCACTATCGTCACCACGTTTTACCAAACCCCTCCATACAGATAAGAGAGTATGTTAACTTCAGGTTCGTGGTGATAAGTCGTGCAATGGCTCATGATCGTGTTCTTCTTCGTTGCTTGATCTTCCTCGTCGCAGTGAGCTTACAAGTCTCCCGCAGTCTTTGCTATTGCGCGCTTACTAGACTTCTTCGATGCTTGGAAATGTCGACGTAAGCTGTGTTTAATTGCGGAGAAAAGTAAGGACCCTTAGCTTAGACTGCCTAGGTGCTTCTGTCCTCTGATCATTAGAGTTGTACTTTGATTTGCGGAATGGTTGTGACGGCTTTGGCGTCTTTTGCTAGAACGACCGATGTGCTCATTCCGTAACTTGACGTCCACAAGATGTTTCCTAGTTGCACGCTGCCTATCTTCTTGGGTCGTCTCCACATTAGTTGTGTTACTCCACTCTCTGTTCTCGTCCGACGCTACGGTCTGCGAACGTACTCCGAGTAAATGCCTCTCATGCATGAGTCGTAATAGCTTAGTGAATTATTGCATCATCGGAATATCGATTTTGTGCGATACATGCATGTATTCGATCTATTGTTTTTGGAATACCGTGGTATCTGTACTGCGGTACTATTTTTTTCGGCCGAATTAAGCAGTATCTCCATAGTATCGACCGGGGGCGGAGGGTCGGCCCATGCAAAATTCAAAGTACGGTAGCCGCGTGCCTGCCATGAGCAGTCTTCTGTCTGCTGCTGTGAGAGATTTCAGGTACTATCTCCATATGTCAGGTACTGCAACTCGAGCTAAATTCTCCGGAGAAGCTATAAGCTTAATAACGCTCTGTCATTGTAACACAAAGCCATCATCAAGCTGCTACTGGAACGTAACCCTACCTACCGCTTTCCCTTTTTGCGCCTTCTGTTCATGCGACTCCTAAATAACCGGTCGTATCGACTAACGTTTACCCCAAAGGAAGCTGCTGGAGGCAATACGAGATTTGGTGGATCTCGTATCTCCGGATGCGGCGATGGGGACGGTAGTGTAGGAGCACTAAGGTAGCGGGAGTGGCACCAACAGCGGGGATCGTGCAATCCTACGGCAAAACGAGGCTGGCGGAGGTCCTCCTGCTGTGATGAGCGTTCGCCGTGTGAACTAGGTACTTTCGTGGTACTGCGCCACGATGTTGGTACCATGGTACTTGTTCATCGGTGTCGTATACCTAGGTAGACTGTAGCCACCGCCACGCGGAGAGGCTCCGTCGTGCATCACGTGTGTGGTGCGAATACGATGGTAGAAGCAGCTATTCAGTTCGTCTTCACCAAACGCGCAAGCAAACAAGTGCTATGACTATCGGTACCGGAGTGCGGAGTTATTCCAATGCCACCGCCTCAACTTGTGCATACCGCCGCCCGTTATCGCTTAAGCAAGCAAGATGCAAGTGGCTGATGGAGGGGAAGCCTGCACCCGACATGGAACGACCGTATCCAGTCACACAACCAGCCATAACTCCCCCAACCTTGCATCCTCTGGCATTGAGACACGAGGTCACGACCGACAACGAGAAGATGCATATGCTACGGAATACGGTAACGGTACGTCAGGGTCAGAATATGACGTTCCCTTGTCGGACAAGCTTTCAATCGCTCGAATGCGTGTTGATGCAACGCTGCCGGCTAGTCCGATCCCTCTCGCGTCACTGTTTCCAGCGATATTGATTGGGTTGATCATCGCCTGAAACATGCTTAGGGCGGGCTTTAAACGGGCGGGACATTACTGCGAAAGGTATGGTTAACGGAACTGCAGGGACTGTGCAGCGCTGCATCTGCAGCTTGCATACGAGGAATGACGGTGGGGAAAAATAGTCGTGTTACTTTACTTAGCAGATTAGTAGGAATTTGGAAGACGGGCAGAACAAACCCCTCACCATCCGTGTTGTATAAAGGAGTCTGCGAACGGCGCTCACAAAGGGACATCACTCTCAGCAAACTCCCAAAAGCAATTACTACCACTACTAAAAAACCTCCCTTTTCAACCAAAACACTCGGTTCCTCAACTCTGCTCCCCCAAACAACCACCAAGATGAAGTACACAGTCGCCCTCTCTGCCCTCGCTGCCAGCGCCATGGCATGGGAGCACAAGTCCTCTGCCTGCCCCAAGCCCGAGCACACGACGACCGTCACCGTCGGCCAACCCTCTGCGACACCCACCCCACCCGCCAACGACAACGGCTACTTTGGCGTCATCTCGTCACGCTCTGCCTCGCCCATCCACCTTCTCCCCCTCACCGCACGCGGCAACAAGTTCTACCTCGGCGGCGGACCACCCAGCTCCTACTGCCCGGTCGAGTCGGTCGGCGCGGCCAACTGCCCACCGGGCAACACCACTGTCCTCGCTGGCGGCGACCAGACCCTCTCTCTCGGTGTCGTGGTCCCCGGTGGCCAGCAGGTCTATGTTGCGCCTGACGGTGCGCTGAGCTACACCACTGCACACAGCGCGGCCATCCCCGCGGGCAGCGAACAAACAGGCTTCAGCCGGACTGCTCCCGCAAACGGCAATGCGTTCGGGTACCTCAACTTTGACACTGGCTTTGTTGCTTGCCCGGCTGCCAATGTCACAGCGGACGGATACCAGGTCTTTGGCCAGGTTGCCTCGGGTGCCACATTTGGTGACGACTGCTTGGGCTTCAGCGCACTTACCGTTGCGGTTGACCAGCCTGGTGCGTGGCAGTACTAGACTCATCGTCAACACTGGTTATGGTGAAGACGAGTTGGTAATGTCTATTTGATGTAATGGGATGGGATAATGAACAATCATGCGATGGACGGATATGTTTATGGTGTATATACGACGCTCCTTAATGACTTTAATATAATAGTAATGCTTTGGTAAACTCGTCGTTTGCTCATATCGTGCTCTCCAACACCGCTCTGATGCGATTGACTTCTTGCTCAGCCGTGCCTTTGACGCCCACCTGAACAGCCACGGTCTTGTCCCTGCTCTTCATCCCCTTTACGACTTCAACGTCGGATTTTGCGACTCGAAGCGCATCAGCAATAACTTCCCTCACTGCCCTGTTTGCCTCGCCGTCTTTTGGTTGAGCCGCAACGCATATGTCGATACGCTCATCCGATACCGCTGCGATGCCCTCGCGCTCTGCACTGACCCCAGGCTTGACATGACACAGCAATTGGACAGTGCCTGTGCAGTCCCTCGCGGACTTTTTAGCCGCGAAACGGATCGCGGGAACGGACATGGACGGCGTCGGGATTAAGACGAGATGGAGCGCATGTGACTGCGATGACAGGTGTGTAAGAATGGTCAGCTGGCTTCGCGTCTAGGTAGGTGACGCGGCTGAACGTGCTGCCCAAAGCCGATTGCAGCCGACCAATCGCGCCCCCGAGTGGCTTGCCCAAACACCTGCCAACTGTAATGCCTGCGAGAACAGAACACACACTGCATACCTACTCACAGTCTCCAGACACAGAAACATTTCTCCAGTTCTAGGGAATCCGAAAATGCCACGTTGCTACCGATGACCCCGTCCGACCTACCTAAAGCGACATGGCGGCAAGTTGCGGTAGTGGGGGCTTTCTTACGGTACCAGTCCCCTAAGATAAAGACTACTTCCCCTAAGTGATAAATTTGACGAGAGCCTCATCGATGTTTCCCTTAAGTACAGGTGTACACGATGGAACGAAAATTCAGCGACACACAATTACCTAAGAGCTTGCGCGCTCCAGAGATAAAAGCCAGACCGCCTGCACCCATTCTGTAGTTTTGTATTTCCATAATTTTTCCTCGATTCGATACCAGACCGAATTGAGTTGAGCGTGTATATTGTACGCATTGCGATATAAGCACCTTTTCTGCACTGCTAGCTAAGCTTGTTACTTTGATAATCGCTATAGAGGTTAATCACAAAAGGTAAGAGATGACAGCAGTTGCTTTTTATGACGTGGTTCACCATGTGGTGGTTGGTTATCTGGAAGTCGCACTTCTGCGACCAACGACGCACAAACAAAGCCCTTTCTCTGCACCACCTCGTGCAACAAACCCGCTTGCGAATAATAATACTAACGCCATTTACAGCACAATGACTTCCGCACCCACAATACAGCCCAAGTTCCTGCCAAACAGGCATGACCTAGGCATCGTCGCGGTCGGCTTCAGCGGCGGCCAGGTAAGCCAGCCTTCCCACCGCACCCATCTTATCTAGACCAAACAACCAACAATGCATCCCACCAGCCCAAAGCCGGCGTCGACGCCGCCCCCATGGCCCTCATTGAAAACGGCCTCATCAAGCAACTGGAAGAAGACCTGGAATTCAAAGTCACCTACGACGGTCAAGTGCACAACTACACGGAGCTGCAGCCCTCAGACGACCCAGACTACCGCGGCATGAAGCGACCAAAGTTCGCCTCGGCAGTCACAAAGCAAGTCAGCGATCAAGTCTATGCTCACGCCTCGTCAGGAAAATTGGTGCTGACGCTCGGTGGTGACCACTCGATTGCCATTGGCACCGTTTCTGGTACCGCCAAGGCTGTGAGGGAGAGACTGGGCAAGGATATTGCGGTTATTTGGGTCGACGCACATGCCGATATTAACACGCCTGAGACGAGCGATTCAGGCAACATTCATGGTATGCCCGTGTCGTTCTTGACAGGACTGGCGACGGAGGAGCGGGAAGATGTGTTTGGCTGGATTAAGGAGGAGCACAGGCTGAGCACGAAGAAACTGGTTTACATTGGTGAGTTCCTCGTCCCTGGTATGGAGTTCATGTGAGATGGGAGACTGACACCTTGCAGGTCTTCGGGATATTGATCGGGGAGAGAAGAAGATTCTGAGGGACCATGGCATCAAGGCCTTTTCCATGCACGACATCGATAGGCACGGTATCGGCAAAGTCATGGATATGGCGTTGGGTTGGATTGGTAGCGACACGCCCATTCATCTCTCGTTTGACGTCGACGCTCTCGACCCCATGTGGGCGCCTAGCACCGGTACTCCTGTCCGCGGCGGTCTGACTCTCCGCGAGGGTGACTTCATCGCCGAGTGTGTTGCCGAGACTGGTCAGCTCATCGCGTTGGATCTCGTCGAGGTCAACCCCAGTCTTGACGCTGAGGGTGCTGGAGACACGGTCCGCGCGGGTGTTTCGATTGTTCGTTGCGCGCTTGGTGATACGCTTTTGTAAGCTTGTTTCGATTTGTGGAGTTCTTTAGGCCTTTGATTGGGGGATAGACATAGATGGTACTCGTAGATGATTAATTACGCAAGTTCACATCGCATTCGCATTAGCCGTCGGTAGGTAGACGTAGACGCTGGCATGGCAACTACTAAGATATCCACGAGAGCATTCGTGGATCTGATAGACGTGCAGGGTAACTACATCTACATTGGTGATGTTGATAGTTCTCTTTGTGGCTTATTGTCGCAGCCTGTCCTGCTTGCTTGCGGAATGTACTTGTCAGTGTGGGAGTGCATGTGTCAGTGATAAACAATAGTGAGGCAACTACCAGGACAGCTACAGGAACAATCGAAGGTATAATAGATAGGTAGGGCAACTACTATGACAGCTACGGAAACAATCGAAGGTCTAATAGGTATGCAGGGCAACTACTTCCACGTTGAACATGCGAGTAGAAGGCCTTACTGCTTGTCGTCGTAGTCACTCAATTGCAAGTAAGTAACGAAGCAGCTGCTCAGCAGTGGCTGCCAACTCTAGAGATGTGATATATTGATTTCTGCCCGTGGTGTTCTCTCTTCTTTTCTTCAGCTAAAGGCGACGGAACAAAGGTATGTCAACGTTTCTCTCCCTTCACTACCCATGCCCTATCAAGCAAGATACACTACATCAAAACGTTGATGCTGCTTCAAAATGCTAATTTGTACAATGTTGTTATAGCTAGTTCCAATTTAAGATGTCCGCTCCCAATTGCAACTGCGGTTCGGGCCTATGGGCCACTATAGGAATCAATCTTGTCAGTAGTGGCATTTTCTTGTGCCTGTGCTTTTTAGGCACAGCTGTCTTGGGCTGGTGGTTCGGCCTGAGTTGGCCTTGGGAGAAGGCCAAGAGAAAGGCCTTCATGAAAGACCTCGAGGCGGCCAACGTCAAGTTGGCAAAGACTGCGGAGGGGAAGAGGTTGAAGACGGCGGAGAGGAAGTTGGGGGAGGAGGTGGTGCTGCGGGCCGAGGAGAAGAAGGGGCTGATGTCGCGGATCGCCCTTGAGGAGAAGAAGGTCTCTGACCTTCAAAAAGAGTTGGAAGAGGCGAAAGCCATGGGCTTCGTCTCGGCATCCGGGCTTGGCGCCGCTGGCCCATCGACCCTCCGAAAGCGCAATCCGTCCTAAGTATATTTTCCCTTCATCCTATGTATCACTTTTCTTTTGTATCCCTTATATCTTTTACTATTTCCCTTTCATAACATGTAACATCTTCTTTCTGTATCCCTTACATCTCTTACTATTGTCATTCTTATGGGCCTTGTCCCCCACCTCCCCGCGGTTAGGCCTGGGGCCACTCCCAAGGATGAAAGGGAGTGGTGCAAACGGGGGCTATTCTTACTCACCATCTACAATACATCCAAGAGCGAAGCTCGTCGCAGCTCGTACCTCACTTCTTCCGGTTTGGCGGAGACATTCAGAATACGCAATCAGCAGGCCTATCCGCGAAGCTGTTGTACCCTTCAGCAGCAGCTGAACCACCTTTCTCGGCCTTCACCATCCACTATGTCAACTCCCGAGGCTACAAACGTTCCGGGAAAGCTCCTCCTCACAGGCGTTGTCGTCTTCAGCCGTGGCCCGTGTTTGAACACTCAACGTCTCTCAGCGACCATGTCGTCTCGAAATAGCAGGCTTCCAAATCTGTACCAGCACCGGAAGCACATCAAATCAGCTGTGGAAGAATGCAATGTAGCTTCATACCTGGTCAAAGCCTTCACTACCTCACTCCCGCGACCACCGCAACCACAGCCACAGCGCTCTTCCAATGGCTCACCCGCAACTCAAACTGTTCGTACAACCAACACTCCCAGCGCTTTTGTACCACAGCCACAACAACCTCTAGCTGTTTCACTGGCTCGCATGCAAGTCGCACCATCCATACCAACAGTCGGTATCGCGCCTTGATATCCAAATGCTTCCGGTGTTGACGCTGCTGGCTGCTGTCTGGCACACAGTCGTTGCAAAGCCTTCACAATTCCTCTGGTCAACGCATCAGAAACCAAGACTTCATTCCAAAAACCCTGGTACGAGATCGGTGCTCATCTCTGGATCATGTATGTAATCACTAGATAGAATAGTTAGCATAGATAGTATAGATAGTATAGGTAGCTTGTACCATTTAGAAAAGACCAACAAGATTCTCAGCCAGTCACTTCTCGCTTACTTTTATTTGATTGAACCCGTGCATGTCCTTTACCTTGGTACAAAGCCCCTCTTTGCTGACCCAAGCGACCGTAAACCCTGGTTTCACTAGTGCACTCTTATTAGATGTACAAAATCTTCCTCACATTCTCTTAATCTCCATATATCTCCTGGTTTCTCGAAATCTTTTCAGCTGTACTGGAATACTGCAATCATGCCAACCTTCAATCTAGGCCGTCTAGGTCGTTTCCAAGTATCTCGTCTTCCTCCTCCAAACACCTCGTCGCCAATAAAACAGCATGATTTATCTTCCAGTCCTCCACCAGAGTACACCAAAATCGCCGAAAATGAAACCAAGTTCCACGCTCCATCGCAAGCCCAGCCACCAGAATGCAAGATAGAGCAGTTGCGTCGCTTCCTTATCGAGATTGTTGCGATTACTCTTGGCGCCAAATTCGACGAGCTGAACGCAGCTCTCTACGACATTTCTATGCCAACCGGCACAAACACAATCCTTTGCGACGTTGAGCGCGCAAATCTCCTCTCTCTGTCCAGCCTCGTCCGCAAGGTCCACAAGCGCTTCCTAGACAATGAAAAGACGAGGATAGATCGAAAGGACGAAGAGAAAATCCTCGCAACCATCACCAAACCTATGGATAGCCTCAACCCAGCAGGCAACTTCACAATACCTTGGTACTCTTTGGACATGATAGGATGGTACGGCGAAGAAGTGCGATCGCCGTCTGGCACATCCTGGGCATCTACCATCCCCGGATTTTGGGAGAATCCGCCGTACCGGTATTCATCTAATAACAAAGAGCCGTTCGAAGACAGTATGAGGGCATTCTGCCATATGTTCGACTCTATGGCGCCTGACGACGAGGTGCACGGCATACTACGCGAAGCATGGGACGATTCACGGAGACGTTGTGGCTTGGGTGATTTAGGCCCTCCGGGTATGTGTTGGCCGCTGAGGGGGGGATATCAGGACATGGGAAAATCGCTACAGAAGATGACGCCGTTGAAGCCTCGGGTTGGCGTTGGTAGGTTGCGAATAGGTCCGTAGGTATCGTATCTTCCACTGGCAACATATTTCCTACCAATGACATAAGGAACAATTATCAGCTTCTCATGCCTGCAGATACGTCTCTCCATTCATCCGTCTGCCGAGTTCCGAAGGAGTGTTTGAGTTATGGGGTGGAATCGCAGTGGATCGATCCCGGGAGGCGATCAACTGCGCTAGCGCAGCCCCTAAGCACAGCCCCATGCACCAACAGCCACAATGACATCATGCTAGCTGTACCTGCAGCAACCAACACCATCAATTTCGCTGTAAACCTGCTGTTAGTCCGAGACGAAACACGACAAGCGCGGTTTGCACATCGCCATCTTCCAAGGTTTCTCCGCCGCCTTCTCCTCTTTTCCTTGTGCATCTCCTTCCACTCTTCCCTTTCAGTCTGTCGCTTCGACTTGTAATTTCCCTACACGCGACTTGCACGCGAGGGCCCCTTTAGACCTCAATCCTTGTCATCACAACAACACCAACAAGATGGTGCATCAACGCGCATCTCAGCGAGCTCTGCTACTCAGCGCGACACTTGGTCTCGCTGGTGCAGTCGCCGTGCCCGAGCCGACAGCTGTTCCCGCCAAGGTCGAAGTTCGGGCGCCCGTTGTGACTCCCGCGGCCATCCGGTTCGATGGGCGACACAGCTATGTGCAGAAGAGGGATATCATCGACGACATCAAGAGTGGCGTAGAGAACTATGCAAACTCGATAGGCAGCGTTCTGGGAACAGACCTGCCCAGCTTCTTCACAGAGGGTAAGCAAATGCATCCAAAGCAAGCCTTGCGCTAGTAAGGCTTGTGCTGACACTTCGTCACTAGGCATCCCCGGCTGGTTCGAGGACCTGCCTACCGGCAGCCAAGTCCTCTCAAGTCTCGGCATTAACGACGACGATTTGGCTGCGAAGCCCACCGAAGTTCTCAACATTCCTCCCTATGCCAACTGGACCGACCAGGGCTGGAACGTTCGCTTCCACGGCAATGTCTACAAGTTCCCGGACATCTCGCAGAGCAAGGTCGACGACTTGGCCAACGTCTTCCTGATCGACACCAGTGTTGACCAGCTGCCTGACAACCAGAAGGCTCAGGCACGCAACCTCACGCGATCCATCTTCGTCGTCCAGCAAGGCGGTGAGAATGTCTCCATGTCGCTCGAGCCCGCGCCCATGCAGGGTGGTGATGGTGAGCCCGGAGGCGGCAACTCTGTCGAGGCACCTGGCGGCGTCCAGAACCTCACCCTCCCCTACGAGACAACCGTAGAGGGCGACTTTGACGTCTTCGTACCGATCCAGTCCAACGGCCTCCTCCCCGGCAACGAGACCAACAACGTCCAGCGCCTGAACGTCTACACTAACGGCACCATGAGCGGCAATGCCACTGCCTTCCTCGTGCCATCCGAGGGTATCACCTTCATCTCCGACATTGACGACATCCTGCGTGTAACCAAGATCTACGACCCCAAGGAAGGCCTTCTAAACTCCTTTGCCCGTCCCTTCACCCCCTGGATGAACATGCCCGAGATCTACGCGAACTGGTCGCAGACCCTCCCCAACAACACGCACTTCCACTACCTGACCACCACCCCCGAGCAAGCCACCCGTCTCTACATGGACTTCATCTACAAGACCTACCCCGGTGGCTCTTTCGACACGCGCCCGCTCAACTTCTCAGACGTATCCGCTACCCTCTCTATCCGCATGTTCCTCCTCCAGAAAGTCTTTGCCACCTTCCCTCAGCGCAAATTCGTCCTCGTGGCCGACACTTCAAACAGCGACGTCATGAAGGACTACCCCCAGCTCGCTCACGACTTCCCGAACCAAGTCCAGTGTATCTTCCTCCGCAATACCTCTGCCACCGACGACACCATGTGGTTCCCGTACAACACCGAGGGCTTCAAGGGCCTGAACAACAGGAGCTACATGTTCTTCCGTGAGCCAAACGATTTGGCTGGACTGGATATCGTTAACGGACAGTGCTTGAATGAGACGATTCAGCAGAATGTTACTTTCTCGAGGCAGGCAGAGATTTTGGGAATTCATGGCGATAGTGCGGGTGGCAAGTTGAACAGTGGGGCTACGATTGGCTTCGTGGTTGCGCTTTTCGCTGCTGTTGCGTTGTCGTTGTAGAGTGGATGGATATGGCTAGGTTGAGATGAATGTATACGAGATACGTTGTTTGCTTGTTTCTTCTTTTTTTTTCCTCATTAATATTGAGTTTTGGCATAGCGGCATGATCTGCGTTTTGATTTGGGTCTTCTTGTTCATAGTCATTTTTATCATGGGTACAATTATCAGATTGTCACGATTGAATTTTACGTTCTATGTGTATGTATGGGCATGTGCTACTGAAATTGTTCTCTACCTCGTTTGACACGGCGCGTCCTTCTTATCCCCACCTAGCTTACCCCCGTGAAACCAACATACCTTGTTCTCTATATCGTCTCCCTTCTGATCAAGTTTCCGGTGACCATACCTGCACTTTGGCGCTTTGTTCTCTTTAGTGGCTCCCATCCTGGAGTTGACAGCCTTAGTTCCTTTCTCCTTCTCTGGCTGTTCAATTGGTTTGTATTTGCGTTGGTCTCTATTTTTGTTATACGCACGTTGAGTTGGTATGAACTTATCGGCGCGTAAGATATCTGAGAAGCCAGCGCTTTGAGAGAGAGGGTAGGGGCGCTTTAGGGATGGGAGTGAAGGAGAGTGGGAGATTTCGGAACCATCTGAGCTGTATGATTCAGATATAGAGTTGCGCTGATGGAAGACCAGGTGCTGATTTGGATCGTCGGCCACCACAGCTGAGTCGCGACGGTCAGTATTCTGATCCATGTTTCTAGTTTAGCAGTGGGAGTTATAGCTGTGATTACACGCCTGGGTAGGCTGGGCACTGACGTTGGATGATGGGCTTAATTACTTCTTCCTGTGGAGGAC